GAAGTCTTATTAATAATCTTCATGAAACCACCAGATTGTTGATTTAAGAAACACATCTGATTCACTAATGACACTCAGGAGGAAACATTACTGTCCTTTGAGGTGTGACATGGTGGCTCAGTGGTTAGCACATCTGCCTCACAGCGCTGAGGACCCAGGTTTGATTCCACCCTCAGGTGACTGTCTGTGCGGAGTTTGCACATTCTCCTTGTGTCTGTGCGGCTTCCCTCCAGATGCTCTGGTTTCCTCCCACAGTCCAAAGATGTGCGGATTAGGCGGATTGGCCGTGCTAAATTACTCATAATGTCCAGGGATGTGCATGTTAGGTGGATTGGCCATGCTAAATTACCCGTAATGTCCAGGGATGTGCAGGTTAGGTGGATTGGCCATGCTAAATTACCCGTAATGTCCAGCGATGTGCAGGTTAGGTGGATTGGCCATGCTAAATTACCCATAATGTCCAGCGATGTGCAGGTTAGGTGGATTGGCCATGCTAAATTGCCCATAATGTCCAGGGGTGTGCAGGCTAGATTGATTAGCCATGGGAAATGCAGGGTCATAGCATAGCGGAGTGGATCTGGGTGGGATGCTTTTTGGAAGGTCATGTGGACTTGATGGGCCAGATGGTTTGCTTCCGCACTGTGGGGTTTCTATGATTCCAGTTTATTTTACTGCTATAGTCATGTGTTCATTTTGTACAAATTTGTAAAGGACATTGATGAGATGTTTAATATAGTATAAACTGTAAATTAATGCAATTTTTTTTTAAAAAGTGACCACATTACTTGAGCTTCCAACATGTTAAAATTCAGATTTTCAAGAATTAAACTGAGCCATCATTAAAGACATATACCAGGACTGGTCAACATCTGATACCTCAATGTTAGTTCAAAGTAATGCTATTTAGGATTCAAATTTTTGACTAAATCAAGACAGGTTTTCTTTCCCACAATGATATTCAGTTTTAAATGCACAATTCAGAACCTGTAACTGAAGTAGGGAGTGTTCATAAAAATATGGATGACGTCTGCAGACTCGGTGTAGTCAGTGTGAAAAAAAGTGAAGCTATTTTTTTGTCTAGAATGTGGTGTTTTTTTTAAAATTCATTGATGGGATGTGGGTGGTACTGATTAGGCCAGCATTTATTGGCCTTAAGAGTCAACCACATTGCTGTGGGTCTGGAGTCCACAAGTAGACCAGATTGGGTGAGGGCAGCGGACTTACAAACTGCAAATGGTCACCCTTCAGCTGAGAAATTATTGTTCGAAGTACACAATTTCTTAGTCTGAGAGAAAGCGAACCTGTAAAGGAGACCCAGAACCAGTGAGAGGACATAGTCGCAGCACTGCGTTCCCATTCCAGCGGAACAGCATGGTTCCACAATGCCAGAGCGAGATTGCTGTCTTGTCCGCATCGGACGAGTTACACATAGCAGGCAGGAGCCCTTGTGCCATGGTAATGTCCTTGCCTCTGGCCCAGAAGGCCTGAGTTCAAGTCCCACCTGCTCCAGAGCAGGTCGAACTTTCTTTAAAAAAAAAGCAGTCATACTTTGTAACCAGGTATTGTGAGAACCTTTTTTTCCTATTTCAAGCCACCTTGTGCTCACAGCATTGTGGACCATCTGCAGTTTGTCCATTATTTTCATTGGGTAGTGGACACAATACGTCTTGTCCTCTGCACTGCTCCTTCAGTTGTGGACCACGCAAAAGGAAAACTTGTATGCCATACATATAACATCTTGTTCTCTTCACACCCATGATCAACTCTGTACCCACAGCCCACACACACAGAATGGAAGATCTTCGAATGATTTTAACACTGATGGGAAATGTCACAAAGTTTTAGCAATATTTCCAGGTTGTTGTGAGGGACACCACCACAATCATAGAAAGCCTACAGTGTGGAAGCAGGCCATTCAGCCTATCAGGTCCACACTGAATCTCCTTTCCAAACCCACCCTATCCCTGTAAGCCTGCTTTTCCCATGGCTAACCTACCTCGCCTGCACATCTTTGGACTGTGGGGGGAAACCAGAGCACCCAGAGGAAACCCGCACAGACACATGGAGAATGTGCAAACTCCACACAGACTGAGGGTGGAGTCAAACCCAGATCCCTGGCACTGTGAGAGAGCAGTGCTAACCACTGAGCCACTGTGCCACCCCAAAACAATAGTAATGTTTCTAGACTTGCGTGCAGTTTTGGTCGGTTTTCTGTGGAAGAATGTTCTGGACAAGGAGGGAGGAAAGTGAAGGTTTCCCAGACGGATTCCTGGGATAGCAGGACTGGAGTATGTAGAGAGACGGGATCAGTTCAGACTATATTCACTGGGGTTTAGAAGATTGAAGGGGGATCTCACGGAAACATATAAAATCCTAACAGGGCCATACAGGGTAAATGCCAGAAGAATGTTTCTGATGACCAGGGAGTTCAGAACCAATGGTCACAGTTTAAGGATATTGAGTCAGCCATTTAGGACCGAGATGAGGAGAAATTTCTTCACGCAGAGAGCAGTGAGCCTGTGGAATTCTCTGCCACAGAAAGTGGTTGAGGCCAAAATGTTGTGAAATGTTGATATATTTCTTTGGGTTAAAGGGATCAAAGAGCATGGGGAACAAGCAGGAACAGGACTCTGAGTTGGACAATCAACCAGGATCTTATTGTATGGCACAGCAGGTTTGAAGGGCTGAATAGCCTACTCCTACTATTTTATATGTTTCTATGTAATTGAACGGCAAAGCTGGTTATACTGTGGAGATTTGCATTGAAATCCCATACTTGTATGAGGGGATTTTAAATTCAGTTAGTTAAACAATCTAGAATAAAATGCAAGTCTCATTAATAATCTTCATGAAACTACCAGATTGTTGATTTAAAAAACATCTGATTCACTAATGACACATGGGAGGAAACGTTACTGTACTTGCCCAGTTTGACCTCCATGGACAGAGATATTCTTATTGTTTCTCAATGGCAGTTTGAACATGAGGGGGTGCTGTAACATTCCCTGGGTGTCCTTTCTACTGCCCTTCTTTCTGCACCTGACTTCCCACAATTCGCCATGGGGCAGGTCAAGCTGAGGGCAGCCTGCCACTCTTGAGTCACTTGAAGCCCTCAAGAGTCATTTCCTGCCAGCCCTAAAGTTTGGGGCTGACAAATCTGTTCAAGGTTTGCGGGATGGGGGGCGCAATATTGGTGGTATCTTGTTTAGATGCCCCAGCCTGTCCCTCACTGTTCTTCCTCACTCGAGAGGGAGTCCCTCCCTCCCTTGACATCGCTATCAAACTCGCTCCCTTTCCCCAGCTAAATCCTGGACAGGGCCTCACCTCCCCAGCCCACCATGAGAGGCTGGGCTCTGGGGACTGTTTGTAATCACGACTCTGAGCACCGGCACTGCTAGGATTACAGAAGGTGTGGAGGCCAGGTTGATTGTTCATCAGTCCTTCACGTCAGGACTTCCTCTCAAGTCTGAAGATGGGTGAAGTCCCATCACCGGCCAATTAGCAATCCTCGAAGCATTTTAGAAACTGTTGGGATGTTCTGATCAATTGGCAATGGGGGTGCTGTTGGGTGAGGGGCTTAGGAAATTGTGCCATCTGAAAAATCCTGCCCCATGTGTTTACCGAGCCGCAGCAATGTGGCTCACCCTGAATTGTCTTCTGAAATGGCCTGGCAAGACACTCAGTCAAAACAGCCCTGTGGGTCTACCCCTCCGAGCAGATGGGAGGACAGCTAACCTCCACTTTCCCAATAACCATTAGAGATATGCAATAAATGCTCACATTTCAGCAATAAAGGAAAACAAGCAAGCCTTAAAACAAATGAATGAGCTGACTTATTTGCCAAAGGGGAGAATGTTGGCAAGACAGATACTTCCAAAGAATGCAAAACTTATTTTAGGTCAGAAAAGGAAGTCTAGCAGTTTTGTGAGGGATTTGAGAGAGGGGTCTTTATTATTACAAGCATCCTGAGGGTCTACAGCTCTGTTTAAGTTTAAGCTGTCTTAATATTGCCTTTGTTTCTGTCAAATGTTGCAAAATATTTCTGAGTTTGTCACATTCAACTTACCTGCAGCTATCAGTGAGAGTCAATAGGCCATGATCAGTCTGTGGACAGTTAGCGAACAGTTAGCCATTTGAAAGCTGGTAATTGGGGACCAGAGCAGTTTAACAGCTGAACAGTGCACCATTAGAGACTGAGTCTTTCAGCTCCAGAACTACCAAGCAAAGCAAAGTTTAAATGCCATGTAACATCTTGTTCCCTTCACACCGTGATCAGCCCCGTTCCTACAGCTCACACGCAAGATGGTTAATCTTGTTTTTCCCCAGGGCAGCTGTCCATAGGCAAAGAAAAGGGGGTGCTCCCTGTGACTGGGAATGTTCCTGCTCACCACCTCAGAATCTCATGTGGCTGAGGAGAAGCAGGAGATTGGGATTGAGGGGGACCCCCAGTTTGTAGGCACCAAGGGCTGTTGCAGTGGTTTGAAACAAGAAATGTAGCACAAAGGCATTTACCCTTCTTGCTCTTTGAATGACTTCAACGTTGATGGAAAATGTGTGGTTAGCTGGCACAATGCCATGGAACATTTGAACAATATATCCAGGTCCCATCCTTGGTTAGTTGTGAGGCACCCTGGTGATGTTACTGTATTTGTTATCGAGACACATGGCCCATTATACTGTAGAGAGGCACAGGATCCTGGACTCCTCTGTACATTGTTATTGAACCTTCACACCATTTTTAATAAAGTGGAATAACATTGGCCAGCGTGCAGCCTGTAAGAACTCTGCCTGTTCTGCCTTAAAACAAGGTCTTTTATTGGACTGCCGTTGGGATCCTCATGAGGGGTTTTAAATGTCTATGAATTGGTAGTTCTGAAAATAAGTCGCCCCTTTACCTTGGCAACTGACACTTCTTTTTCTCTCGTTTTACAACTTTTGTTTTATTTTAAATTTATGTTCCTTTTTATTTTCATTTATTTTCTCCATTTTTCCATCTCAAGGGTTCTTCCCTCCAGACCCTGTCCTCCAGCCCGGAAGGTGGAGGAATGGGACATAGACTTCTTCATGACGTCCGACGCCAGTGCCAGCCCATGGTCAGCCAACAGGTGGCACCCTCGTTGCAGGGTGAGACGACCCATGTGAGTTGTTCCTCTTCACCAGGTGCCCGAGGTGCCAACTTTCAGCCCCAGCGCATGGGTGTCTGGCAACGACATTAGCTGGGGCACTTGGAGCTTCATGCTTCTGGAGTGCACAAGCTTGGGGTTTTATCCATACATTGGAACTTGACGTTTTTTTGCCCTTTCTCCTGCCTTCAGTGCTCTGGGCAATGTCTTTTACCTCATTAGGCTATATTCTGCAGCAATCTGTGAATTTATAAAATCATTTTTCATTCCAATTTTCTGACATTGTTTGCAAAATTAATTATTGCAAACGGAAACAAGATCGCGCACTGGATAATCTCTAGAAGATGACAGTTCCTCGACAAGACTTAGATTTTGGATTTTTATTTATCTTCACGGGTACAAGAGTACAACGAAAAGTGCACACAGACGCCACTCCCCGGCACCATCCTAGAATGCAGTAGTCAGAATTAAATACCAGAGCCGAAATTAAAGAAACAGAAACAGATGTGAAAGAAAATGTCCAGATATCACCGTTGCCACTGCTGCCACCATGAGTTGGGCTCCCCCATGCCACCTGCGCCAAACCCACCAATGCCAATGTGCCACCACCACTGCAACCAGTTTGCCAGTGTCTCCCTTAAAATCTTTCAGCTGCATACACTTCTGCCTATAAAAGCCTGGTTTAGTCCTCTTATTTAAGGAAAGATATCATTTTGTTGGAGGCAGTTCAGAGAAGGTTCATTAGGATGATCCCCTGTATTGAGGGATCGTGTTATGAGCAAAGATTAAACAGGTTGGGACTCTACTTACTGGAGTTTAGAAGAAGGAGAGGTGATCTCATTGAAACATGCAGGATTCTTAAGGGGCTTGACAGGGTAAACGCTGAGAGGATGTTTCCCCTCATGGGAGAGTCTAGGACCAGAGAGCGTAGTATCAGAATAAAGGGTGCCAATTCAAGACTGAGATGAGAAGGAATTTCTTCTTTGAGACTTGTGAGCCTTTGGAACTACTGGCCACAGAGATCTGGGGGTCGGGGGGAGGGCAGAGTCCTTGTATATATTTAAGGCTGAGACAGATAGATTTTTCATCAGTCTGGGAATTGAAGGTTACAGCGAAAGGGCAGGAAAATGGACGTGAGGAGTGTCAGATCAGTCTTTATCCTATTGAATGGCAGAGCAGGCTTGATGGGCTGAATGGCCTTCTCCTGTTCCTGTTCCTGTTCCTATGATCTCATTTCTTGATATCCCTTTTCTCCCTCCCACTTACCTATGTCAGCATTTTTCAGTCATTAATTCCTGGCTCCACGTTTATGAGGGTTCACTGCTGTTCAGGTATAACTCAGGTTTTGCTAATATTGGGTTCAACCTTCAGCCAGCAAAGAACATGATCGAGTGCACTGGGGACACAAGATTTGACACACGCATAAAATACTGATGTACCATCAGCTTAAAGACCCTGACTTGCTGTTCACTCCTGACGTAATGGAAATTGTCATTCAAAAACAAGACTTAGACTTTAGAAGAGTTTCCACTCTTTGCTGTTCGTTCGGAGGAATCATTCTAAGGACTAAAGGAAACTGGTTGTTGAAAGCTTTTGGGCACTGGATCTAGATGAAGTAGGATGAAGTAAATTGATGAGGACTGTCACTAAGAGGGTAAAGGTTTGCTCTGAGGTGTCAGCTAAGGTGCTGTCCAATTAGCTACAGCCCCTGTAAATGGGAGCTGTCTGATCCTAATTGCCACTTTGAAACCCTACGTGTGAAATGTACGAGTGTGAACATAGCTTACAGCAATAATGATAGCATAATGGTAATATTATTAGACTAGCAGTCCTGATGCCTGGGTTAATGCTTGAGGGCCATGAGTTCAAATCCCACCCATGGCAGCTTGTGGAATTTAACTTCAATTAACAAATCTGGAATTAAAAAGCCAGATGATCATAAAGCTACTGAATTCTCCTAAGAATCCACCCGGTTCACTGATGCGCTTGAGGAAAGGAAACCTGCTATCTTTCCCCCAGGTTGGTTGGTTATTAACTGCCCTCTGCAAAAGCCCATCAGATCCCCAGTCGTATCCAGTCACCAGTGTTCCCTCTAATTTCTGCAGCTGCTGGGTGGACCTCAGAGGTCTGTGTTCAGCAGTGGCTGGAGAAGGTGGAAATGAATGTGTGGACTTGACGATGGGCACACGTGGATCCTTAGAAAGGCCATGCAGCTTAGCGGAAATGTTGCAAACCACCGCAGAGCCAGGTACTCTGCCTAACAGCACACATATTACTCGCAGGGTCTGCACCGGTTCAAGAAGGCAGCTCACCACCACCTCCTCGACAATAATCAGGGACGGGCTATAAATTCTGGTGAGACTTGTGATGAATTAAGAAAGGCTTGTTGGCTCTTGCTGTTTTGGCTCATTCATAAAAAGTGAGTGGTTGGTAAAGGAAGCAAATGTCTGTGGAACCTTACCTCAGGGATAACTTTCGTGAGAAGAAAGGAATAATATATGACATGACCGTGTAAACAGAAAACTGTATAGATGCACAGTATTTATGAACAGTACCTTTTTAGCTGAAGTGACACTGTGAATACATATGACTATGGCCCCCAGTTTCCTGTTTTGATTACTTGGCACTATTTTTAGCAGAGATGAATACAACACGAGCTGAAAAAATGGCTGGTAGGCCACTGTCATATCCAGGCTACCCTGCTGCCTGGAGAGATAATTTGTTTGTTTATTTCTAGCTCCCAGAAAATCGAGAGCATCGTCCACTGGACCCACATTCATCATGGATCAAATTTGTGCAACGAGATGGAGTCAGGAAAAGCAAGAAATGCAAAGCCAACCGGAAGAAAGTATTGGTATTTTTCATGATTTGTTTTTGCCTTTACACCTGCCTTTTTGCATCCCTCACTCCTCCCAAAGCTATGACTCTACTAGGACATGGTGGATGGACATCAGGTACCTTGCCCACTGTGTATGGGCTGTAACAGTGAGAGTTGGCATGATATCACTGCTTAATCCATGTCCACATGCCCCAACATTTAGCAGGGATTGTTTGACAGCACTTGTGCATGGGAACCCTGGCCGACTTAACTTTTTACATCCATGTGCTGTGGATGTAGTTTACTTGGACTTTAGCAAGGCTTTTGACTTGAGCAGGCCTCACTTGGCAGCCTAGACAAACAGTGCGATCCAAGGGAATTGGTCAGTTGGATTGGGCTCGGTATTTGGTCCCTTGCTTTTTCTAGTTTATTATAATGATTTAGACACACATAGCATGCAAGGTAAAGGTCATATGAACAAGAGCCAAGAATAGGCCACCCGGCCTTTGAGCCTGCAGTGCCATTCAATAAAATCATGGCTGATCTGATTTTTAACCTCATCAGCATATCCCTGATAGTTTTTCATCCCCTTGATGATTAACCTCTGACTTTAAAATATTTAAAGATCTTGCATCCACTACCTTTTGAGGAAGGGAATTCCAAAGACTCACAACCCTTAGAGAGAAAAGAATGTTTGCAGATGATGCAGCAATTAGCCATTTGGAGTGAGAAGGAAAATACAAATGGTCTGGTGAGTTCGACAGAAAAGGGGGAAATGGGATTCAGACCAGAGAACTGTGAGGTATTGCATTTTAGGATCCAGTAAGACATAGGAATACTGACAATGTTTGAGCATATTGAGTAGCGCAGAGTCAGAGAGACCATTGAGTGTATGTCCAAAGTTCCTAAAAGGTATCAGAATATGTTGACAAGCTTGGTTAAGAAGGCATATAGCATGATTTCCTTCATTAATCAAGGCATAGAAATATAAGAGCAGCGAGGTTCTGTTAGAAACCCACAGAAACTCAGCACGCCTGGCTGCATCTGTTGGGGGAGAAACAGAGTTAATGTTTCATGTCTGATATGACTGTTCTCCAGAGTTCTGAAGCATCCACGGTACTTTGCTTTCATCTGAGGTTTTGTTGGACTGCATCCAGCATTAGTTAGGCCTGCTTGGGATTCCGGTCACCACGTTTCCGGGAAAGATGCACTGGAGACAGTACAAAGGAGAATTGCCTGAGAGGAGACAGAGGCTCTAGCCACATTTAAAAAGTACTTGGATGTCAATTGCTGAGTTATGACCTACAAGCCAGAGGGTGGGATGAGACTGGGTAGCTCTTCTTGATTAGCACAATAGGCTGAATGGCCTCCTGCATCATAGATATTCTCTGATTCAGTTGTAAGTACTGTAGCTTTTAGGGAGATGAGATAATTCAACACATATTAAATGTGGGATTTGTTTTAGTTCCCTGCATGCAGCAAGCCTCCTTTGACAGTGTCTTCCAAACCCTGTGACCTCCACCACCATGAAGGACAAGGGCAGCAGATATAAGGGAACACCACCACCTAAGGTAGGGGTGGAGGTTAGATACACTTTAGGATTAGGGTAAAAGTTCGGCACAACATCGTGGGCCGAAGGGCCTGTACAGTGCTGTACTGTTCCATGTTCTACCATCACCTGATAGCTCCCCTCCAAGCCACACACCACCCTGACTTGGAAATATGTCATTGTTCCTTTTCTGCCACTGGGTTAAATACTGGAACTTCCTTTCTGACAGTACTGGGGGTATCCCTACATCCCAAGGACTGCACCAGTTCGAGAAGGCAGCTCACCCCCTTTCTCCAGGTCACTTCTTCATGGGCAATAAATACTGGCCGAGCGACAATGTCCACATCTCATGAAAGATTACATTTTGTAAAATGTTGCCTCTGTAAGATGAGCAAATAAGAGAGCTCATACTTGTGTTGTTAGGACCATAGAAGATACAACACAGAAGGTGGCCATTTGACTCATCATGTTCATACCAGCGCTCCTCAAGAGCAACTTGGCTAGTCCCACTCTTCTTCCCTTGCTTGGTAGCCCTACAACTTTTTCCTCTTCAGATAATTATCTCACTGCCTTTCGAAAGCTAAGGTTGACTCTGGTCAGCTACAGTCCATCACAGATTGTAATTATTTGCTGCACAAACAAAAATGCTTTGTTCTTACTGTCGTTGCTTTTGCCACTCACCTTAAAGCCGGGTCCTCTGGTGTTTGTCACTCGCATTAAGGGTATCAGCTCTTCCCTGTTGATTCTGCCCAGGCTGCTCATGATTTGAACACATCTATCAAACTTCCTCTTCTCTGAGCAGAAACAGCCAGTCTATCCTTTTAGAGATGCATGAGTCATGCTGTTTACTCATATTGTTAAGATGTCAAAAACAAACTTACGTTATATGAAGATGAATGTAAAGTGATTATCATTGTAAATTGGCTCAGGAAAGTTTTTAACCTACTATGCCCAAGGGCAGACTGATGGGCTTGGAGGTAATGCTGAATTTTACACCATGTTGAATTTTATTTTCCATTGCCCATCCTGGAGGGTAATGTTATAAAATCAGCGTCCTGCCTGATCCTGTGGCTTTCCTACCCCAAAACAATTTGGATAAAACTCACCCCAAAACCAGTGTGACACTTACATTGTTTTTGCGAATGCTTACTCGGTTTGCTTTGGACTTGAGTAAGGAGGTGCTTGCATACACTGAGCCGGGAGTATTGTCCAATGACAATTCTCTACATTTTGTTCCAAAGCCGAGCCTCTTTGGGCCACCAGGACCTCCAGGACCCCCAGGACCCCCTGGACCAGCTGGAGCTGAAGTGACGCAGGAGTTCCTGTTGCGCGAGTTTAAAGATATGATAAGAGGTAAGCTATGGAGTGTACATTACAGGCACTTAGAACAGGGATTGCCAACAGAAGAAAACCAATAAAACTGCAGAGATGGAAATTCATTCGATAATCTCCTTCCCCTAAGTCCATTTCTGTGAAGCCAGTGGAACTGACTATTGGACATATAACCAATAGTCTGTGTCTTACCCCGCCTCAGCCTCTGGTATGACATATAAAGATGTACACATTACTGATCATTCAGTTCAATATTGTATAGGAACAGAGGGCTAAGAACTCCCTGTTTGTTTAAATGTCAGAGGAATTCAACAATTTCTGTGCCCCATTGGAAGAAAACAGGACTGATGTCCCATCTGAGTTGATCTCTGTCATTGTTGATGATGGGCAGGGCCTGGGACTGGCAGCTTCTCCTAAATATCACCCCAAACTTCCCTCCAACTCTGGTTTTAACCTCAGGGCCATATGTAACTACAGCACTTCCCTGGGTGAGAAGCTAATCATAGAATCCCTACAGTGTGGAAACAGGCCCTTTGGCCCAACAAGTCCACACCGACCCTTGGAGCATCCCACCCGACCCATCTCCCTGTAACCCACCTAATCTACACATCCCTGAACACTATGGGCAATTTAGCATGGCTAATCCACCTAGCCTGCACATCTTTGGACTGTGGGAGGAAACCGGAGCACCCGAAGGAAACCCACGCAGACACAGAGAGAATGTGCAAACACCACACAGACAGTCGTCCGAGGGTGGAATCAAACCCAGGTCCCTGGTGCTGTGAGGCAGCAGTGCTAACCACTGAGCCACCTTGCCACCCACAATGTAGGGTAGCTGTCAACAACAGAAGATCCTGTGCCCCTGGGCTGCCTGCCAGCCTCCTGGTACCTGGTGAGGAGGGTTTTTTCATGTTAGAGTCCAGCTGGACAAAAAGTGCTGGAGCCCAGGGTGAGTGAGAGCCACAGTTCTCTCCAGGTCCCACAGAGGAAAGTCTTGTGTTTGCTGGATTGCTTCTTCATCCTTTGACCAGCTGCCAACCTACCCTAGCCAAGCAGGTATCATGGCGGCTTCCCTGCCCAGCTCCCATTTGGAATTATGGGACCTCAGTAAGCAGGAAATCAGGAGGCTTCCCCTACAGTTTAGGTGACTACTTCACCAGCTTGTCAAACGCTGCAGCAGGTTAAGGTGGCAGGAAAAGAATCGAGATCAGAACAGATAACTAACTTTGTGTTTAATTGCCATCTTCCCAACAGGTTCATGTCTCAGATTTAAATGGTTACACTTAATGTGGCATCAATAACAGCATTGGAAAATTGTCCAGCATTAATGGTGGGCACATAACTAGGTGCCCAATATCTGCTGCATGATTTACAACAATATTTGGGACACTTGGTGATGTGCCATCCTGGTAAAAGCTCTTGGACGAATAGAAAGCATTTGTCTCTCCCCTCACCCAGATTGGACATAATCCAGAGTGCAACCTCCAGCTTGTTTCTCCTCCTCTCTAGCCCAGTGGCACATGAGGCAATGAAGTGGCTACAATGCAGAGGAGGACATTTAGCCTTTTGTGTCTGTGCCAGCCCGCTGCAGGAGTAACCCAGCTGATGCCACTCCCCGCTGTTTCCCCATAGCCCTGAAATTTTTTCCATTTGTGATAATGGTCTTAATTCTCTTTGAAGACCATGATTGAATTTGCCTCCACCACACACTCAGGCAGTGCATTCCATTTTCATAGCACTTGCTGCAAACAAAAGTTTTTCTTTCTAGATGTTGCCATTGTTTCTTTTGCCAATTATCTTAAATCCTTGATGCTTCCAACTCTGACCAACCTCACTCACTCTGTTCGGAAATGGAATATCTCCATCAAATCTGACTTTGGATATATGTATCAAATCTATCAGGTCAGTTGTAATGACCACCCCTTCAGCCTCATAGCAACTAAATAACTCTCAAGCAACATGGGTCAGGAATCAATCCTGGTCTCCTTTGACCTCCGTTGTCCAAAGGTGCAAAGCACTGAAAACCCTGCTCCATTAACCTGTCAGGGAATCTCTTGCCTTAATAAGTATATTGTTTCCTTAACCCACATGAGATAAGCTGGAATAACAACAGAAAGAGCTGCAAGTACTCAGCAGCGGCCAGCATCATCTGTGGAGGGAGAAATAAAGTTGCTGTTTCAAATATGACACTTCAGAAAACTGAGCTGGTGTCTTGTGACAGTTGTGGCATCATCAGTAGATGAGGTGAACAGTCTTTTTTATGGTTTTCATTCAGGTTAAGAAGGAATTCTATTCTTAATAACAAGTTACAGCATATTGTCTTGTTTTCTACTATGTGCACAATGTTTGCCCAGCTGCTGTGACTCACTCTTCCCATCTGAAAGGAAACCACAAGTTTCATACTTGGCACCTCCACAACTGGAATCAAAACCTGGCCACAAAGAATTATAGGTTTGCACCCATGTCCCGCTGCTCTGTAGCTTGTGGCAAGGCTTTTAAAGTGTCCGGGTGGAACTAATAGTCAAGGATAGCATTCAAATTCAAGTTGTTACCGCAACCAGCATTTAGACCCTTGGCTGTGCCGGCCCGAGAGCCTCACATTGCCAAAGGATTCGATGCCAAGGAAGGGAAGGAAGCGATAATCTAATGGAGCTCTCAGACAATTCATGAAGTTGAACCAAGTGATGGCAGCTCCGAACTTCTTCAATCCCTCGTGTGGGACGTGGGCCTCGTTGCAAAGTCAGCATTTGTTGCCCATCTTTAAATGCCCTACAACTGATTGGCTGTCAAGGTTAATTCAGAGGGCAGTTAAAAGGCAACCACATTACTGTGGGTCCAGAGTCACATGTAGGCCAGACCAGGTAAGGATGGCAGTTTTCTCCCCTAAAGGACATTAGTCAACCAGGTTGGTTTTTACAATCGACAATGGTTGCCATTACATCAGATTTTTGTTTTAAGGTCAGATACTTTGTTTTTTAAATTAATTTAAACCTTTGCGATCTGCCACAGAGTCCCCCTGAACATTAGTCTGCGGTTCTGGGTTACTGGTCCGGTGACATTACCATTACACTATCACCTTCCTATAGGTAGAAGTCACTGGACTGGAATGACAATCCAGGATGTGGAAGTAGGTTTGAGAGGAGACGCCTGAGGCACTGAATTTTCATAAAAATTTGGAAGCAGGATTTGTGCCAAAGCTCAGAAGGGTGCAAATCTTTTTTTTTAATATTAAACTGATTTCATCCAAAGTGGAGGATGTAAGCCAGGCAATTTTAAGAGAGTTGGTCTAGTCTCACTTGGAGCTAAATATAGGGTGAGGAGAGTGAAAGTTTTAACAACGTAGGCTAATTGGGGCGAGTCAGGAAGGATTTGTCAAAGGCGGTTTGTGAATTGAAGCTGATAGTAATGCAATGGATGTGTTTTCATAATGTATTTGATTTGTGTATGTATAACAATCATTTAGCCCCAAAACGTGATTGGGGCCTGAGAGTATCTGGGTGGGTAAATCTCAGTGGAAGATCAGAAAATGAGGGGAACTAGCTTATTCCTCCATTGAACCTTGCATTTATGATCCAGCCATTTTCTGATGGGGAATCAGTCAACAGACCAGCATATATAAAACAGAATTAAATTCATAAACTCTGTATTGAGGTATTTTTAATATTTTTCTACACACATTTGTTGTTTTATATTTTCATAAGTTATGCAAATACGTAGGTATTTGAGAGAAACTTCTGAACATTAATGCTCAGAGAGACTTAAGAATACTCACACAAGGAGTGTGGAAAGTTAACAAGCAGGCGATAGGAAGGCATATGGTATGGTTGCCTTTATTGCAAGGTGAAGTGAAGACAGGAATAATGAAGTCTTCCTACAATTGTACGGAGTTTTGTTGAGATGTTACCCAGATATTGAACCAGGCTTTGGTTTATATTTCAGGAAGGATATTGAATGTTCACTAAATTGGTTCCAGGGATGAAAGGATTACGTAAGAATATAAGAAGATAAGAAATAGGAGTAGACCATTCAGCCCCTTAATTCTGCCTACTATTCTATAAAGATTATGGCTGACCTGGCGCAGGCCTCAACTCCTGTTTTATGCCAGCTGCTCATATCCCTTGACTCTCAGATATTTTTTAAAAATCTATCTACCTCCCGCTATGTTGAGAGACTGAGTAAATTGGGCCTATACCCGCCGGAGTTTAGAAGAATGAGATGTGATTTCATTGAAACACACAAGATTCTGAAGGGATTCCACAGCTTGGGTACTGAGGGATTGTTGACCCCAGCTGCAGAATCTAGAACGCATGGGCATGGTCCCACGATAAGAGACTGGTTGTTCAGGACTGAGATGAAGAGAAAGTTCTTTGCTTGGAGAGTTTTGAGTCTTTGGAACCCTCTACCAGGGGTTCTAGAGTTGAATTTAAGGCTGCACCAGGTAGTCTTGGTCTCTCAGCAAATCACAGTGATCACTGAATGGAATCGGGGGCTATGTAGGCTACTGCAGCTCCTACTTCTTACGCTGTTGTATGCTCCTTTGGAGATGAGACGTAAAACCTGGCTTCCTTTTTCCCAGGTATGCCTTTCCCTTCTCTGGGACCTTCCCCCAGCTCTGGAACTCTGGACCCCACGGTCACTGATTTCCTTGGCCACTCGATTTACTGCAGGTCACAGGTCCTTTCCAACCAATAAAATGAAGAGGGAACATTGGAAAACAAGGTCACAGGGATAGGATTGGGGGGTGGTGGGTCTGGGTGAGCTGCTCTTCGGAGGGACCGTATGAACTTGAGGGGTCGAATGGCCTGCTTCTGTAAGAAAAAACAGTTCAATGAACTAAGTACAACAAAACCAAACCCACAAACCGTCTAAAACCAAACATAGTCAACAAATGTCGACAGTCACACCTTTTGGATCATTTACTTTTGGTTAGGTAGGGTTTTACTTCGATTCAATGATGGTATTTCTGTAGGACATTTGAGTTAAAGGAGGTTTTACCACGAACAGAACTTTGGAGTGTTTAATGAGCTTGTTGTGGCTGGTGATAATGCAACACTAGAGCAAAATGCCAACCCATCACACTCCCAGAGATGAGTAAAGGACAAGATCCAATCCTACCATTGCACCATTATAGTTATTTGTGTTTTGAAATTGCTAAATATCCCTTTCTGTTGTTGTGGCATCAAAATAATAACATTGGAAACCACTTTATAACATGGACATTGATGTGGTGAATGCCATACCTCTCCAGGATCAGGCAGGGGATCAAGCAAATCATGCAGTGCTTTAGTCACAACTCCTTCCTGGTCTTTTCAGGTAATTTTGTCCGACATTCATAGTTCAGTATTTTTGCTTATCTTCTCAGAGGCAGCAGAGAGACGGGCAGCTGTTCTGACAGAGATCCATCCTAGTTTCAGTCCACCACCTCCTCTCCCGTTTGAAGACATCCATCCATACAAAAGAGTAGAGGAAGCTTTTCACTGCAAACTGAAGGGGATAGTTATTGTGGACAAGAGGACCCTCTTAGAGCTTCAGAACTTCCAGGCGGTAAGAAAGCTTAAAGCCAATTATTTAGATATTGCTTAGAAGAATTGAAACTTGGAGCAGGCGTAGGCCATTCAGCCCTTCGAGCTGGCTCTACCATTCAGTATAACCCTTCATCTCAATGCCATATTCCGACTTTCTCCCCATAGTCCTTGATGCCTTTATAATCTAAAAATGTATCTATCTCTCTAATGAATATATTGAGTGACTAGGCCTCCTTGACTTGCTGTGGTAGAGAATTCTGCAGTTTCAGTACCCTTTGAGTGAAGAATTGTTTTCCTTGCCTCAGTCCTAAATGGCCAACCCTGAATGCTAAGACCCTGTCCCCTGGTCCTAGACTTCCCAATCAAGGAAAAGATCCAGCCTATATCTAGTCTGCCCTGCCCTTTTAGAATTTTATATTTCAATACATTTATATCTTGGAATCAAAGAACTAAATGTTCTAGATGCAAGAAAGTACAAATAAAATCCCATGGACCAAGAAACTATTCAGATATATACATATAATTATTAATTGGGTAAGAAAACACAATCTTACCCTTAAACAAAACAGCAATATGCTAAATTGGTGAGTTGACAGAAGGATGATGATGTAGTGATGCAATCACCAGACTATCCAATGCGGTGAGGGAGGGGTTGATGATGGGATTTGAATTGAATTTCACAATCTGGAATTGAAAGCTAGTCTCAGTGAACAGCTATCATTTGTTGCTCTTAAAACCCATCTGCTTTACAAGTGTCCTTCAGGGAAGGCAGTCTACGAGCCTGGGCTATGTGTGGCGTTTTGGGAAAGAGTTGAAACAGAATTTGAACTACTGCATAGGGAATTGAAAAAGTCTTTGCTGAAGAGATATAGGTATTGTGAAATTAAGGGATTAAAGCAATAATCTGAGCTATTCCCATGGCAATGAATGAAGTTAATGTCAGGGCATTCATATTGTTACATGGAAAAGGATTTCGCTGTGTTCATGTAATCAGGTTCGTTGCTTGGCTAACTTGTTATCACTTGGAGAAGTCTTCACATTAAAGAGGAACTTTTGTAATCTAAATCAAAGTGAATTCTAAGTATGCAGTGGAGGATTAAATGGTTTCACGTTTTGAAGTTGTTAATGAGCAGATTATGAAATAAAATGGTATGATAATAACTGGGTTTCACTCGATCATATTGCACTTCATTGTGAAAGGCAACTCAATTACACTGTGTTGGTCAAGGTAATGGGATCTGCTGGAAGTCTGGTATGAACCTGCCTTCTATTGTCCCCAGGGGTTGACATGCTGATCTCCAGCCGTTAGTAAATAGTACAGAAATGTGTCAAAGCAATTACGATGCCGAGAAAATTATACCATTCTGATGCTAGGCACATGTAATGTAATATGAGTTTTGTAAAGTAATGTATAATTTTCTACCCACTCTCCAATTGGATGCTTAGAAAGACACTGCAAGCTTGACCAAACAAGAATAAACACATTGTTAAGCAGTATGCTTTCAGTACCAGTAATGATTTTGATTAATAAAAACCAAAAGAACTGCGGATGCTGTAAATCAGAAACAAAAACAGAGATTGCTGAAAAAGCTCAGTAGGTCTGGCAGCATTTGTGGAGAGAAATCAGAGTTAACGACTCGATCCAAAGTGTTCACTCTGATTTCTCGGCACAGATGTTGCCAGATCTGCTGAGCTTTTCCAGCAATTAATGATTTTGATAAGTCTTATTTGTACTGTACGTTGTTAGAATTAGGGCAACAAGGCAGATTTTTCTTCTTTTACATTTAATTATTCCACTAAGTCCATTGCCAGTGCAATTTGGCACAGTTGGCTTGATGGCAGCAGGACAGGCTTGGTTGAAGGATCAAGCGTGTTGTCTTGAGCCAGTGCAGTATGTGGCATTCCCATCGTGCGATATCCACTGCCATGGGGCTGCTACTCAGTACTTCCATTGGTCTGCAGTGATAGCAGACTCCAGAAGATCCGTGATGTACTCAGGTCTCTAGTCATATGGTTCACACATCCTGTTCAAGACAAAAGAGATGCCCAGAGTGGTGCCAGTATGAGTATCCGTTCGAGATACCACTACTGCTTCCAGAGACTGCTACAAGGAACTGCCTAATGGCAGTTTTCCACTGAGGAAGTTTCCACTTATTGGTCGACTTCAGGGCAATATCATGTGTAGAAGTGAATGCAAGTTGTTAGGGGACCCCCTGCAACAAGTTGCGGAAGCTCCCTGGTCGGACAGCTGTGCATTTACCAATGGTTAGCCCACAGAAAGGCTGAACATCCCAAACACGCATTTGTGAAATCCTTCAGTAGAAATAGAGTGTGAGATTGGCTTCGAGCGAACTGTGTCTTGGGCTGCCCTGTATATCTGTGTCCTGTTCACTTATGGTGAGTGCATCACCCATTAATGATAGCATGTGGGCTGAGATACATTGTTCTGGAAGTGCTGGAATGGGTGTTGGTCCATTATTTTTGGAGATTTCTTTCCCTTGCACAGGGCAGATGTACAATTGTTAGCACATGAAGCTAAAGGGAAGCAATAGCAGATGAGCGGCAGGTCAGTGTAGCAACAGGTTGTCACATGGTCTGTTTGGTAGCTTGAGAAGGGAGAAAAGATAACGGAAGTAATCAAACACTTGTAGATCTACTACCAGCAAATCGCTGAGTCTTCCATCTGCATTTTTTAGCCCTGGCCGTTCGTCCAGCAGTGGTAGGGCTTGGATGTTACCTCCATTTCTGTAGGAAAAGCTGAACACAACAGTGGAAAGAGTAGGAGTAAGTTAGCTTGTAGCTCTCTAAAGGGTAGTGCAGAGCTGTGAGGCAGCTTTTGATGATGTGCTCACGAGGAGGGGCTTAGCAGGGAGCTGCGCAGAAGTAAAACCTTTCAGTGCGAAAGCAGTTAGCAAAGCTGTACACTCTAGTCACAATCAGGTCACAGCAGAACACAGAGCACGGAAGGGCCTGGTGAATGTGTGATTGTAGGCAGAGGGAAGTGATTACATTATCACATTGTGATCGGAAAAGATGCTTGTGGAGGAGCAAAAGAATTGGGAGAGCTTGGGGGTAAATAATAGTGTTTCATTCAAGAACTAGACTAATAAAGGGAAAACTAATTTTGAATATTTGTCTGAGTACTGTTAATAGATTGTTACACCCAACATTTATAGATGACACCTAATGTTTAAACCCAATGTTTATAGAGAGCAATACGGTGGCTCAGTGGCTACCATTGCTGCCTCACAGTACCAGGCACCTGGGTTCAATTCCACCTGCGGGCGACTGTCTATGTGGAGTTTGCACATTCTCCCCGTGTCTGCGTGGATTTCCTCTGGGTGCTCTGGTTTCCTCCCACAGCCCAGGGATTTGCAGGTTAGCTGGATTGGTCATGCTAAATTGCCTATAATGTCCAGGGATGTGTAGGTTAGCTGGAATAGCCATGGGAAATGCAGAGTTATAGGGTAGGGATGTGGGTCTGGGGTGCGATCCTCTTCAGCAGGTCGATATGGACTCAATGGGCTGAATAGCCTGCTTCCACACTGTAGGGAATTCTTTGTAGCTGGATTTTCCGTAGATGCAGGGGCCTTCCACACCTTTCTTAACAGGAAGGAAATTTTGTCTATTAATCTGCAGTAGGCCCACGATGGGAAATAATACATTTTAGCTTCAGGCTGCATCTACACAGCCACTTCATTCTTCAGCTTTCAGCTGTAGGCACATTGTGAAGCAAAGTGCGATAGGACATGTTGACTTTTTGACTATGCTCAGCAGTTGTGATGGAGTGAAACGTCCCTGGAATTGAATTGCAGTGGCAGAAACCAGGCGGAACTAGAATATACAAACATCGCAAGTTGTTATGGAACAGATATGTTGCATTTGTTTAGGAACAGCCCTCCTGTATCATCTCACTGTGGAGTCTCAGTCATGAAGGAAATGAGCTGATTAAGGAGAATGCACTACCAGAAACTAGAGAGAGAGAGATGCCAACCAATGAACAACTGTTTTCAATAAGTTTTATTCAGGGCCAATGTCTGAGATTTCTAACGCCATTGCTCAGAAGGAAGAAGCAATAAAAATGAACCATTAATACTTGGAATGCAATAAAAACAAATTGCTGGAAAAGCTCAGTAGGTCTGTCAGCATCTGTGAAGAGAAGTCAGAGTTAACGTTTCAGGTCAAATGACCCTTCCTCAGAACTCGACCTGAAACGTTAACTCTGATTTCCCTCCACAGATGCTGCCAGACCTGCTGAACTTTTCCAGCAATTTCTGTTTATGTTTCTGATTTACAGCATCCACAGTTCTTTCAGTTTTTATTTAATACTTGGAATGTATTGGTCACACTGGGCATCCATCTTGAAGTATACATCATGAGTCATTTCAATTTGTCTCATTCTTGGGATAAAAAACATGCATGGACAGTAAGTAGCAGGTCTAAATAAGGATCAGGAATTGGCACAGGCTTGATTGGCCAAAGGGCCTCTTTCTGCGCTATATTTTATTGTCTTCACCAGTTTTACTGTTTTTTTTCCCCTTTAGTGTTGTTGATATGTGTTGTTAGCCAGACCTGTGTTGGGTAAACCACTCCCTAAAAGAGTTAATGATGAAAAATTGAGATCCACAAAGTTGGACAGATAATAGCACAGGCGCAAGTGATTATCAGCAATTTCCCATTTTGCTGGTAACGGAATTTTAAAGGGACTTATTTCAAGTTACTGCCTTCTCTAACTCTTATGCCACAATCCTTACTTAGTCGTGCTCCTAAAATAAAGTAAAAGCTTGCATTTACAAAGGACCTTTAACAGCCATTGAAATGTTAGACCGTTGAAGGACTCTTGAAGTTGGAAATACAGTAGTTAGTTCCTGCGCAACAAGATCCCACACACACCATTGTGATAATGACCACCCATTTCCTCTGATGGAGAGTTAAACATCAGACAGGCCACCAGGGAGAATTCCCATGTGCTTCCTCTGTGCATGCATTTAAGGTGAGGGTGGAAAGCTCAAAGGAAAT